TGCGTTGTTATCGTCTCTTAGGATTTAATTCCTGTTACAAAGTTGCATATTACTTATATTCACTGACAATCAGACTATACTTCTACTATGAGATGTCGCTGTCTCATTTTGAGGGCAATGTTTAATAAATTGTCCTGTATCATTGAAATTAATAAAATTTAAATTCTATGAATAATTAATGAATTCACAGTATATGTTTTATGATCATCGCATGAATTATTAATTATTTTTTTATTAAAACTGAAAATATGAATGACAGTCATATTTGATATGTGTTGTGATCCTTCTGAAGCTGCCCTGGACAGGACTTGTCAATCCAGGGGTTCCTTCCTGTGTTGAAATAAACATTAATAGTTAATAAGTAATCCAATACAAAACTCTCTATTTTGGTAATTTGATACCATAATGACAACTGATAGCAAGATTAGTTGCCATATCCGCTAGATTGAGAACATTGCAGTCTTTGATTTATTCGTCCACAATATGGATAGAAAAAACGATCAAAGTGTGGATACTGATAATTTTCTTACCGTGTGTGTTTGTGCAGCTTGTTCTTCAGCTTTGGCAAGACAGCATGGAAAAGAAGACACACTTAAATTACTAAAATCAGAAGCCCAGAAACTGGAACAGCAAATTGATGTGGTAGGTTTTTTTTTTCTTTATTTGTAATTTCCAGTACCATGTTGTTAAAGGGGAACCTTCCAAGCCCAGGGATTGCACTGAAGAATCATGGGACACTATTGTTTATGTTGTTTACAAAGTTAATCTATCTTTTGTTATCCATTGTTATTTTAATCCAGAAAATAAATTTGTTGTGAGATTAGGCTTAACTGAAAGTGACTCTTTAAGCTTACTTTTATGTATGTGATGTTCTTTCAATTCATTTTGATAAAGACTTGTAAACCATGCCAAAAATTGTTGAAAATTAAATAACCCAGAAATGTTGGAGTAACATTATGAACATTTTTGTATATTTTTCCAATATTTGTTTGTTAATTTTGAACCAAACGAACATAATTTCTAATTACTTTAGACAAGTAAAAATAATTATGATACATCACCGAAGTTTAAACAAAAAAAAAAATAATCTTCTTGAAATTTTAACATACCATGCAGTGTTACCCTGACAGTTCTACACTTTCTGTTTAATTATAGGATGGTAAAATGAAGAAGATGGCGGAATTACAATTGACAGTTGTGTCTGATCCAAGAAGTAAACATGCAATCGTGAAACAGGTACAGTTGTATTTTCGTTATACACCATACTCGTTCTATTAGAAGAGCAAATGCATAAACCAGTAATTGTTTTTAATGTACGCTAGATCATTATAGTGATTTATTCTTACACATAGAC